ACTTGACTGTCCTTGTGTAAGTCTTTGTTGGATTAATGTGTGTTTGGAACTAGACTAGCCTTGACAACTTGCTCTTTAACACTTGCCACCAATGAGCATCATATCCTGAGAAACTTGATTTGACCTCTAAAAGTGACTTTATTTTCACATCTTTTTATGCCTGCAGTTGCCTTTAAAAAGAGAAAGAAAGAAGAAGAAGAATAGGAATTCACTGGCTAGGTGAAACCTGGAAATGTTTGGCCAAATGGAAAACCAACGGCTAAATTCAGTACCAGAAAAGTTCTTGCATTTCAGTTGCAAGCAGGGCAAAAGGCAAGAAGGAAGGGCCAAAAATGCCAGCCTAGTTTAGCCTAAAGTTCTTACTGTTATTAACTAAACCATAGGAGAATTATTTCACTTTACAAAAGTTGGGCAGCTTAATAGAACTAAGCTGGTTGCAAGTGCAAGTTTATTGTCTGGACATGTCTTTCAGACTGTATTACAACCTAGTTTAAGGGATTTGTAAATTGTATCCAGGAAGAATGTCGTGGAGTGGTACAGCCTCTGTAATATCAATGTCAGGTCTTATGTTTATAATGGCCCATTTCAACTATGAACCGAATAAAACTGGTGCACTCTGTGAATGAAGGAGTCATGAGTATCCTACATGGTTACTTTGCATTATCGTCCATGCAATGAGGAAACAGGCCGGGTAGGTGGGACTCGTTCAGCCCTGGAAGGCATCCTGTCTAGGAGAAGGAAAACTCTGACTTCAAACCTCCACTGCCTTGTGGCTATATCCACTGATGGAAAGGGCTTCAGACTAGGAGTGCAGGGAGGAAAAGACCCTCCTGCTGCTGGAACCATGTCACCTTTCACTTGGAGGACATCCTAGACACAATCCCGGCATGAAGCTGCTCCACAAACTACCATGAAGATTCCACAAACTACACTTGAAGCATTGAGGAAAGGGATGGCATGGGCCAAACTGCCCTTTTGGTCCATCCCTCTCTCTAGGCTCCCGTACAGTGAATCCAGGCACCTTGGGTCTTTTTAAAGAGAAAGGCAGGGTGAAAATAGGTAGCAGGCTTTCCACTGTATCTTTTTGCACCTCGGCCAACCTACCTTGAATGCAGGCTTCTATCTTACTCTCAGTGTTAAATTAACATGGCCTTCTGTAATGATGGTGATGGGAAAATGAATGCTATAACTCAAACTAGTGAATAAGTGATTTCTAAGCAAGCTTTTGAAACACAAACTCTAAGGGTCAGGATCTAGGATGTCATAGTTAAATCCAGATGCTGCAAAGATTGGAACAGATTTATGTAAACATGACATAGCATTCTGTTTCTGCTGGCTCTGTAGGAGGGCTGCAGAGAATCACTGGTGTGTTTTGTCTCCCATGATTTTATCAGACACAGCCCACACATTTTCAGCAGCAATGTGGAAGCAAGGAGGAAGTGAGAATTCTCAGGGTCTTGAATTTTACAATAGATGCCAGACTCAGTTTTGAGCCCCACTGGGCATCCTGGCTGTGGATAGTGGAAGTTGTAATCCAGCACATTTGGAGGATGCTGTGTCAAGGTTTTGCATGGAATCCTGTGGCACTATCTTGGGGTGGAGGAGAACACAGTCTTACTGTTGTTTATTTTTAATGTTACTAGTTTTGGATGTTGGGCTGTGTTTTTGTACTGAAAAGATGGAATGTATGTTTTCTTCAGTTAGTTCTGAAAGAGTTGGCCAGAGAAATAGAAAATTGTGATCACCACATCAAAGCAGTGCCTCAAATCCAGTGTGTCTGATGATTGGCCTTGCAATTAAACTGATTTTAAAATCAAATAAGCTACCCTAAGACTGCAAACCAACGCAGTGAACTCTGTGAGGTTTGCTTCTGACCAGACGTGCTGAGGATTATGCTATAAGTAGTTTATCTGCAGCAATGCTGTGTGAGTGACACTGCTGACAAGAAGATCCCAGATTGCCAGACCATCCTTCCCATACTAAAACATATCATTACAGTGCAGTGAAGCTGGAGGTTTGAGCGCATCATCCACAACCCGACCAGAAACTTCAGAATGCACATTCCCTTTCCTTGTGAGCTGCACATGCTTTTAAAAAGAAACATTTGGATGTGTTTTTGTCAAGATGGGGGTCGGATGAAGGGGAAGGTTATAAAGCAGAGGCTTCAAAGAGCTGGAAAAACTGCAGGCCCCTGTAAGGCAGCTGTTTTCTGGCAGCGGTGAGAGATACAATTTGTTTCTTCCTTATCCTCTTTCTTTTCCCTTAGACCTTCCTGCATCACAGCATGTGTACAAGTACAACTGTCACAATTCCACGTGGCCCCTGATCGTTTCACCAAACTAGGAGCTCACGCAACGTGCCTCTCGGCTGCCACCAGCTAATTCCATCAACAATACCTATTATTAATGAACTTGCCTCTCGGCTGCCACCAGTTAATTCCATCAACAATACCTATTATTAATGATAGACGTCCAGGCCATATGTCATTTTAAAAGAACCAAATAAAAATGGTTTATGATACAGGTGTTGGCAGAACAAGCAAGGTTGTTAACTCTTAAACAAACATTTTTTTTATCCACCCTCAACCACCACTCTCCTGCCCAAACTCCAGAACTCCACCAAACTCACTAACACTCTAATTCTCCATCTCTAGAATCCTCTCTAAACCTTATCTAAACTCCTCCACCACCTGCTGAGTCTCTTATACCTCATGATTCCGCCCCTCCAGCACTCCCATTGGTCTCTGCAAATAGCATATGAATATTCATGACCTGGGCGACTGCCACAAGAACCTTAAGGGTTAACATCTGAATCTCAGCTAGTTCAGTCTGATTCCTATTATTGGAAAATATATATATATATTCTCAGAGTACATGCCATTCTTGATAGCTTGGAACACACATGGCAGCACGCCTGACAAGCTTTTCTTCTTGTATGTTTATATCTTCAGTGTGGGGGAAGAAAATGAGTATTCTGGTTTTCGATCCACTGCCAAGGCCCCAGATTCACTGTAGCTCTGGGGCTTGTTCTGTCCCAACGAGAAAGATCAGGGAGAGGGTTAAGCATTAGATGTAGGTTCTACTCAGTTGCTACTACCAAAGAAAGCTACTCTATTGTTGCTGTTTATCTTCTCATATTCTGAGTATGTCTTCAGCTGGAATGCGTCTTTTGGGCGTAAGAGAAATAATATTAAGGAAAAGTGCTGTTGGAAGACTTGGAGTTATTTGAGCCCCATCTCTATGGATAAGGTATCCATTGCATGGAAAGATTCTCTCACCAAGTTTATTGAAAAAGCCCTGTTTTTGTAATGTGTGTGATTAATGCTAATGAATCACTTTGCTTCCTAATTCAGATAGTAAAATATCCTTATACACTATGTAAAGACAGTGAGGGGAGTTGAAATGATAGGGCATAAGTAAGCTTTTACTATGCACTGTGTGTCCCATACCTCTGGGATGAGCAACCAGTGGCCTTCTAAATGTTATCTCATTATCTCCAGCCATGGTCACGGATGATGGAATTTGCATCCAATAACATCTGAAGGATTACAGTTCCCCTGTGCTCTGTTGTAGCTTCTGCAGACCTAGTCTGATTGTACCTGCTGCTGTAATTTCAGGTGCTCCAGATAATATTATGTCATTACCATTAGTCTATCTTGTTTTGAGCATTCTACTCTGAGTGGGCAGCAACTGTCTGATGTTCTCAGAGAGATGCCTTTCCTAGTCCACAGGTTGCAAACTGTGATCCTTTATAAGTGGTAGAACCTGAGACTTTCCGTGTGCAGATACCGTATTTTTATGTGTATAAGATGCTACTTATACTTAAAATCATTACACTAAAAATAGAGAGGCGTCTTATACATAGAAGTAAGCTGAGGAGAGAACAAAACTGCCTATACCTTGACTCTGTAAACAGGCTTTTTGAATCAGATCAGAACTTGTTGGGTGGTTGTGCTCATTCTGCAACATTTAGTTCTCATAGCTTTCATTTTCAAAGTGAAATAGATTCATAAAAAGTGCTGTGTGACATGAACAAGATTGCAAAGATTTTGTAGAGTTGTGTCTGGATGCTTGCCAATAGCATCTTTCTCATCTCATGTTCTTGAATTTGGACCATTGAAAATGATGCTTACGATCATTGGAAGAGGAACCAATGACAGAGTTGCTCTCTTTCAAGATTGCAAAGATTTTGTAGAGTTGTGTCTGGATGCTTGCCAATAGCATCTTTCTCATCTCATGTTCTTGAATTTGGGCCATTTAAAATGATACTTACGAACCAATGACAGAGTTGCTCTCTTTTCTTCTGTACATACTCTGTTGTCTCCATTGATGATTTTTTGATGATTTTTTTTCGTCCCCTACTATGTCTGTTGTGAATTTGGACCATTGAAAATGATGCTTACGATCATTGGAAGAGGAACCAATGACAGAGTTGCTCTCTTTTCTTCTGTACATACTCTGTTGTCTCCATTGATGATTTTTTTCGTCCCCTACTATGTCTGTTGTGTAGCATTTTGATTTCTTTAACAATAAATTCTGAATTGCTGTTAGGAAGGATTAAATAAAGCCCATTGTGCTCTTAATTCTCTAAATTGATGCTTTTTCTTTGGGGATTTGAGGAATAAAAACACTTGTTGGTAAACTTGCAAATCAGTTTAATTATCCCCACCCCTCCCTGGCTCCCTTTCTGTCCTTCACACAGGCAGAAAGATTTGGAGATTCGTTTGTATTTGAAGGCATGCTGAGTGAAGAAGTGAAGACCGGAATTCATCAGGCTGTGAGTCATTTTTTTATTTTTCCATTAGTGTGCTTTGGTCTAATAATTCAAGAATATGAACACTTTATGATAGCAGTAATAATGCCGTCTGTTTTAATACTGTAATCAGAGTATGTGGGGACTTGCAAAGATGTGTTAGATTTCAGTACAGGAAACATTATGATTAATTCTGAGGACAGCTTTAGTTCAGTGAAATAATGCATTATACTTCCTCTCGAGCTATTCAGAAGCAAGGGAGGTACAACTGGGAGAAATAAATGCATTACAAATAAAGAGAGTAAGTCACTTTTCATTTTTTTGCCCCTCTTAGGGAATGATGAGATGGTCTAGGCCAGTGGTTCTTAACCTTGGGTTACTCAGGTGTTTTTGAACTGCAACTCCCAGAAACCCCAGCCAGCACAGCTGGTAGCGAAGGCTTCTGGGAGTTGCAGTCCAAAAACACCTGAGAAACCCAAGGTTAAGAACCACTGGTCTAGGCAACCCATAATCGTTACAGAGGTCGTCTTCTTCTTCTTCTTCTTCTTCTTCTTCTTCTTCTTCTTCTTCTTCTTCTTCTAATAATAATAATAATAATAATAATAATAATAATAATAATAATAATAATAATAATAATAATAATAATAATAATAATAATAATAATAATAATAATAATAATAATAATAATAATAATAATAATAATAATAATAATAATAATAATAATAATAATAATAATAATAATAATAATAATAATAATAATAATAATAATAATAATAATAATAATAATAATAATAATAATAATAATAATAATAATAATAATAATAATAATAATAATAATAATAATAATAATAATAATAATAATAATAATAAAACACAAAGTGTGGCCACATCTTTCTTTTTAGAGGCTTGTAGGCGGTGGTGCTGCTGCTGCGGGGTAAACTGCAGAAGCCTCTGTGCTGCAAGGTTGGAATACCAGCAGTCGTAAGATCGAA